TGCCATTTTTTTTTTTTTTTTTTTTTTTTTGCCCTCACTTTTTGCGTTGTTCAGTGGAGCCTTCTAATGTTTTGAGCTGTTTCAAACATGAATGCTGGAAGTGCACCTGACTGTCACTAATATAATAGCTGACATGATTTTAGTTATCAAGTAGTACTTCTTTGGAAGAACCTAGTATGCACACATCTAAACAGCAAGAAAATAAACTGCAGATAGACCTACCTAGTTGCTAACGAAACTGTAAAATTATTATTTTTTTTACTGGCAAAGATACAAACATTTTCAAGAATTAGATCATGATTGGGCTTTTCTGAATTATCTGTTTTACGAATAATGAGAAAACCCATCTAAAGTTCACTGATGTCAACGGAAACATGTCTGCTCGCTTCAGTAGACTGCATATTAATTTTCTAAACTTTCAAGTATTGAGGCCAATAATTTTAGGAGACTGGGGAAGCACAAACGGAGCCATATGAGTCTGGAAATAGTTTATTCTTGACAAGCATTTCATGTGGAAATTTTTAGTTTTCCAAAAAAATCAGTCATAAGATTGTGAGAATATCACATGGTGTAAAAATTATGAGCACAGAAATGGCCTCCATTTGGATTTTTCCTTTTATATTGCCATTGCCTGGCATGTAATTAAAATTCAAAATATTAATCAGGGATAATAGTAAGACTATGGGAATGTTAGTAATGTGAAGTATAGTTTTAAATGTTTCTACTATATATAGCTCTGCAGACTTCTGATAAAACTCTTAACTAAAAAATGTTGTACAGTTCTGTTTATGGAATTTGAGTTAAATGCAGTGAGTGTTTGTTTATGCTCACGAATGTAGAAGAAGAAATGGCGTGTCTGGAAAAACAAGATCATGGCTAACTGGATGTCTTACACCTGAAACTGAATTTTATAGTTGCAACGCTGTTTTGGCACAGAGGCAAACACCGTATCTTTCAGCAAAAGCACAGTGATAGCACTGAAGAGAACATCATGCTACCTCCTTTAGCAAAAATACAATAGTCCTGACTACAACACGGTTTCCTTGAGGTACAGCTGAGTATAGCAGCAAGTAGAACACTGTGCCTCAGATAAAGAAATGATCTTGATTTTGGTTTCTTCTTTCTCAGCCTTCTCTTCTTCTGTGTAAAAACAAAGCAAAATGATGCTATCAAGAGAATTAGGAGAAGTTTCTACATAACAAGAGAATTTTTTTTTTTATTGCTAGATCATATAAATTGTTGGGGTGATGCTGAGGAGGAGGCTCCATAATAGTTCTGTTTATAAAAATCTTTCATTCTGTGAGCTGACGTGTTTCATCTGTTTGAAAATTCTTCTGATTCATAGATGGATGGGTGGCAAAGGAAATACTCCAAAATACAAAGGAAATACTTCAAAAAAAGAAGCACCTACTTCTTTATGTGCCTGAATTATAGGATTTTAAATTTCTGTTGCATATTGAATTGTAAACCTATCCAAATTTTGTACAGCTAGTCAGAACAGTTACCTAAAGATTTTTGTAAAGTGCAATGTTTTTCTCGAATGGCCATGCTTTGATCTGCTACTTTTCAGACACCTCTGGTTCTTTTAGTCTTCTCTGTTTCTCCGTGTTTCCATCCCAAGGGATAGAGTGGAGAGGCTGTCACTTGGGTTTAGATAAAATGGAAAGTAGCAACTTTGAGTTCTTCAGCCTTCTAGTGAGAAAATTAACTGGATAAACGTGGTTCTTGTATTAGATTACTTTCTAAATAATAAATCAGTCTATGACTGAATATTTACTTAAGCCTTTCTGGAATAATACATATTTTAACTTCGTATTTTACATGCACTGTGTGTTATAAGCCTTCATCTTCCAGACACTTAAGCATCCGAGGAACTTCACAATGTTACCAAAGCACTTTCAGGGTCATAGATATATCTTATTTTAACTTATTTTTCAAGAGCTTTGCGTTATTTTAATTGTGTTATATTTTCTCTCTGCAGACATCCTGATCCTGATATAAGCCACTATCCCAGGCAACCAGGTAAGCCTCCAGATCCGGGACCATCTGGTTTAAGTAAAAGCAGAACAGTAGATGTACTGAAGACAGAACAACGGGCACCTGGTCGGAGCCCTTCTTCTATTAGTCTAAGGGAATCAAAGTCCAGGACTGATTTTAAAGAAGATCAGAAGCCAAGTATGATGCCCAGTTTTCTCTCAGAAGCCAATCCATTGAGTGCAGTCACTTCAGTTGTGAACAAATTCAATCCTTTTGATTTGATATCAGATTCAGATGCGGCCCAAGAAGAAGCCGGTAGGAAACAAAAAGTTGCTCAGAAAGAGCAGGGAAAACTTGAGGAGCAAAGGGGCCTTGCAAAACGTCCAACTCAACAACAACCTCCAAAGCCAGTTGTTCAGCAACAAGGAACTGTCAAACCTACTCTGCAGCAAACCGAGTCTTCCAAACCAGTGCCTCAGCAGCAGCAACCTGGGGAACCAAAGCAAATTCAGAAAACAGGCCCTGGTCACCCAACAGATTCTAAGGCAGAACAAACAAAACAGCCCCCCCAGCCACGAGGACCACAAAAATCTCAGTCCCAACAATCGGAACCAACAAAGCCTGCTCAGCAACAAGCTTCTGCAAAACCTCCACCAGGTGTAACAAAATCAATACCACAGCAACCAGATATTGCTAGAGTATCATCCCAAGCACCACTTCCCACAAAACCATCATCACAGCAGCCAGGACCTGTAAAACAACTGTCTCAACAGCCAGCACAGCAAGTAGGTCCTGCAAAGCCATCCTCTCAGCAAACAGGGCCTCCCAAACAACCTCCCCAGCAACCTGGACCTGAAAAGCCATCTGCTCCGCAAATGGGACCTGCCAAACAACCATCACAGCTTGGACCTGGCAAGCCACTTCTGCAGCAAACAGGGCCTGTAAAACAAGTGCCACTGCAGACAGGGCCTACAAAACCGTCTTCTCAGGCTGCGGGGGCTACAAAGCTCCCAGCACAGCAACTGGGACCTACAAAGCCACCAGGCCAGCAACCAGGGCCTGAAAAACCCTCGCAGCAAAAGCAAGCCACTGCAGCCCAACATGCTGAATCAGCCCCAAAGAAAACCTTCTGTCCTCTTTGCACTACCACTGAACTGCTGCTGCACGCTCCGGAAAAGGCCAATTACAATACGTGCACACAATGTCATACTATAGTCTGCAGTCTGTGTGGATTTAATCCTAATCCTCATATAACAGAGGTGAGTAACTTTTACATTCATATTAATTACCACAGCACAAAAATAAGTATACCTTCACTATGCTGAACGGTCAGAGTTGTTACAGTGTATCATCATGATCACTTAAGACCTTAATAAATTGAGAGAAAAAGTCATGTTTTGGGGAAAACTATGTAAAAGTAAAAAGGGGTGAAATTAGGAGAAAGGAAGGTAATTGTTCTGTGTTTGTACAGTGTTTAGAGGAAGTGTGTTCTTTTATTCCTTCATAAAAAAGGAAGAAGAAAGAGAAAAATCTAGGTGGGGGAGGAAGAAGAGGGGCCATTTGGCTTGATTTTGAACACTCACTTGCCACATTTATAACCTAGCCAGTATAGGCATCACGTGCTAATATGTTTATAAATCAATAAAATATGCTGCTATAAGAACTAACGAAACAAAATATGAAACCATATTCATTGCCCTACCATATGAGAAAAAAAGACTAAACATCACAGATTGTGGGAAATCAGTCAGATTTTAATGATATGTATGTTAAAACTTAAAGTTTTTTCTGTAGTCTTTTAGCAAAGCCCATCACACAGATGCCGAGATTTGGTTTGGAGTGGATGTGGGGTGGATTTGCTTTGTGACTATGCCAGTGTTCATTAGCTGAAAGCCTGAGTCATGGATTTTGACTTGGTTATACTCAGATTATTTCAGTCTGATGGGACGTTAAGAAAGATCTCTGTGGACTGTTTCTAACCTTGATCACCGTACCTGCTGTAATTATAGAACACAGAAATGACATAGAAAGTGATGTTAGGACAGTATACTTAAAAATGAACTTGCTTTAACCTAATGTTTGCAGTAGCTTGACTTACATGGTTATATATATCTTTCTTCTATACTTCTTCTACACAGGAATAAGGCTTCATGTTAACATCTGATCTCTTCTTATTGCTTGAACAGCTGTTTATACATTGTGATACTCTAATTGTTAAACTTACAATGTGTTTTTTGTTTGTTCTAATTTGTTTTCAGTACCAAAACTTTTATTAATTTATGGAAATTCAAACATAGCAGAGCTGGCATCAAAGAAAAAAACAATGATAAAGCAGTCAGAAAGAGTATTCAGGAAGCTTATTTTTGTCTTGTTTTTGGTATTAGTTTAGCTGATCAGAGATGCCAATGGGAGGAGATACAGACTGCTGCTATATTTTGAATCTGATAAATAATGTCACCAGATTTAGAATCATAGAATAGTAAAATAGTTCAGGGTGGAAGGCACCTCTGGAGATATCTAGTCTACCTCCCTCCCCCTGCTCCAAGCAGGCTCAGCTGGAGCAGGTTGCCCAGGACTGTGTCCAGTCGGGTTTTGAATATTCCCAAGGGACTGAGACTCTGCAGCCTTTCTGGGCAACCTGTTTGCTTAGTACTGCAATGATTTCAAAGTATCGCTAATAATTACATTTCATTCCAATGCACCTTTTTATTAGTGATATTTTTAGATGGGTGCCTGATGACAAACAGCACATTTTTTACATCTGAAAATTAAATTATTTGTTGGTTTGTTGCTTTTTGAAATTGCAAATTTAAATCTGAAAGACTAGTTACAATAACTGTTGGTAGCACATTGCATCCTTAGGGAGAGTATTCCCTTGTTTGAGTTTAAGGAAATTCAGGATGGAGATAGCTGGCATTAATGTTGGCAGATCCATTAGGCTAGAAGAGGAGTGACTTGAACAACGCTGTGCAGAAATTTCAGAGCATGTGCACCCAGGTGCTCAAAGATCATATAATCGTGGCCTGCATAAGGAATGTTAACTTTTAGTTAAAACCTGAACTTCTGGATCACATTATCAGCATGTGGTTCTGGAGAGTTTGGGATAAAAAAGGTATATTTATATATGACAAACAAGAAATATGATGTATTGATGTTAAAGTCAAAGAGAAACTTTCATAAGAAAACTTCACCTTCAAGTTTAGACAGAATATTTTTAAACAAAAACTTCTTAAATTTATTTGTAGGCACCTACATGTTTATTTCCGTACTGTTTACCTTGAATCTCTCAGAGCTCCAAGACTGACTTCCTTTTTAAAACCTCAGATTTCCCATGGAAATGGCCATTGTCTTTGTCATCTTTGAATGAAATGGATTTTGGGAGAGTGTTTACATTAGAAAGTCTCAAAGTATTTGGAAATTCCGTGGATAACTACTAATTTTTGAAGCGGGTACTCTATTAGTGTGAAATTTAGGACTTTAGGACAATAATGCAGTTGCATTTATGACTACCTGATTACATACATATGTGAAAGCAAATTTGCATTCCATTTTGCACATTGAAATAAACATGGGGCATACCTTTATTTCATGATGAGATCATTTCAGTAAGTGTTAGTTCAAATCTCATGACTCCCTTTCAGACCTCTCTCTTTCTGCTCAGCTTTGCACCTCCAGCTGTCTTGCTGAAACTTCATGGAGGATGTCTTGCTCCTGTCTGCAGTGAAATGTAATGAAAATCACATCTGGCTTTTGTGACTGAACAGCTGGAGCAAAGCAATAGAACCTGCTTGGCACTTGGAAAAATTTAACCTAGCATTTCGTCTTCAAAAACTTGCTGGATCTGCTTAGTTATTCCCAAACTTTCCTCCTAATTTCCCTTTTCTTTCACTATTCAGATTATTGGATTTTTTGGATTCCTTCTTAAAATAGGTGACACCTTTCTTTCTTTCTGTCATGAAGATGATGGTTTGTATCTTAACTGTACAGTTTTCTTGATGATGGTGTAATCTTTTTCTTTTGGTCTTTCTTATTTTGAGTCCTTTTAAAATGTTATTGAAGAAAAGTCTTTGGCGCTTACCCATGCACTTGCTGAAATGTATATTCTCCTCTTGTTATGATATTTTACTTTCTTTGCTGCTGTTCTTCAGTACCGTTTATTGCCAAGTTTCGCAAATCTATACTCCTGTGATGTTGCCTTTCCCATAGACTTTATAGGCTCTATTTTCATTGTTTGTTTTAAAACACATTACCTGTCCCCAAAACAGTAATTCCAAAATGGAGGCAAGGAAAGTGAAAAGCATTTAGAAGAGGATTTATATTATTTTAGTTCTCCAGCTTTTACCCTTTAAGCTTCTTGAACTGCTTCGGGAAACTTTTGGCACCTTCCTTTACATTTGTTACAGTTAAGTCTTCATCACTAACACAGTGAACTACTTTTCCAGTATAGCTTTTTCCAAATTTACGTATTTCTGTATTATGTATTTCTGATTAATTCTGGAAGGGGTACAGCAGGCCTTGCAAACTGGTTCAGGGAGTTGGTTGCATACATTTTAAAACCATGACAAAAAGTGCTTTTTCAGGTTCATTTTCTTCATTCAGACCTCTGCTTAAAACGCAGTAGCACATGCAATCCATCTACTTTAATTCAGTAGAGAGGACTTCGTAACTAAGACCAGGAAGAGATACGCATGTTGCCCCAAGGTCAGACCCCTTGAACTACTTCTCTGAACTCTCTGATATTGCAGTCCCCTAGGGGAAAGGTACAGTCTGTGTCCTGGTTTTGTACAGTAGTCTAGAGAGAAACATACCATACCAAATGTGTTCGGTAACATATTTCTCTCTAATCTGTCTAGGTATTCGTATTCCACTCATCACCATGGCATATGAGTGCCTAGCAACAGTTGCATAAAGTAGAGGGAGAAACGATCTGAACAGGTTTGATGACTGGTTCTGTATTCCATTTTCCTTTCCACGTGCGTTAGGATCTTGTATCAAGAGCCTTTAGCAACAGAAACCAGCACTTCCCCAAAAGAAGATTCAGCCCTGTAGGTCACTTGAATAGGAGTAGGCTCTTCAAAATGAGCAAAGGCATCTGAAAGACTGTCCAATTCCTTAAAATGTTTATCCATAGCTTTTGATTAAGCATGCCTGAAGAGCATGACTTCCTATAGCTTTGATTTCAGGACCAGTGCGTGTATTTGATAGCTGTAGCAGGTTTCCTTTCCCTGTGAGCTAGTCATGGGAAGATACGCACGATGTGGACTGAACAGTCCACGATATGTAGTAATAATATATCATTACATTCTGTACGATGGGCATATGTAAAGTTGAAGATAAAGCGGTGTGTTGAAGCTGTTAATGTTGGAGACTTGGTTGTATGTAAACACTCCTCCGTGATCCTGCCCCATTCCCTGTGTATGTGCACAGGGAGTGCCCGTCTTTTAAGTAGTTTTTAGGGGGGCTTATTTTTCATACAATTTCTCTACCTCAGTCTGCACTTCTTCCACTGCTCCAGTATGTTTTTGAGAGATCATTTGAAATAAATCTTGGAGCCAGCTGTAATAGACATTGAAAGTTGCATGTTCAGCTAATGTGAAGGTGTGTATATTGGTTTAAGATTTGTTAACTTGCTCAAAGATTTTTCTGGACAGGGTTTAAGTGACTTCTGAAAGTATTTTATTGGTTCTGGTTTTTTTTGAAATGGCATATTTGTATCAAAGTTGATTTAATGCCAATAGAAAGAAAAAAAAAAAAAGGGAGAAAAAAAAAAGGTAGAGTCTCCCAAAGTGAATTATATCATTGCAGGTCAAGTAAAACGTTTTACTCAATCTACACCATACTTTCAGTTTTCCGGGAGGAAAAAAAAAAAAACAACTGGAAAAGATTTTCTTGATGTTTTTCTTTGTTTTTCTTCTTTCAGTAGAGCTAGGAAACGTCCATATCTGTTGCTTTAGGTACTACAACCCTGATTCTGCTGGTTCTTTCTGCTTCCATTTTTGTATATAATCATATCAGAACCGTATGCGATTTAAGGGTATCATGATTTGGTTCAAATGCTCATAGCGATTAATGACACTTTCAGTATTTGTATTTGTTTTTATTAACATGCTATATCTCCAAATATTCTAAAGGGTGGGGAATGATTAGAAATAATACCTTTTCAGTAACTAAAGAGAATTTAACCAGTCCAAAATGTATTTATTTTCCCCTGTTATCATTATTATTAGCTTGTACAGGGAAAGGGATGTATAATAATTTA